GGCTAGATCGGGTTTCCAGAGGCTATATATATAGAGAGAGAGAGGCTGCCGGGAGCCCTGGGGCTGGCCACTCCCTGAGGGTGCAACGCTAAGGGGCCCTGCCAGACCTGCATTCCTGCCCAGGGCCAACTCTCCATTTATAGCCCCAGGCAGGCAGGCAAGGGAGCTGAAGGGGGTGGAATGGACAGGGTGGAGGGAGAAAAGCCTAGGGAGCCCTCCTTTCCCATCTGCTGTCAAAGGAGCTCCTCATTGTGGAGACCAGAGAACCGAGGGCCAGGGTGAGGCGTGCACTTGCCCACCAGTCTGCTCAGCCCTGAGTTGGAGGGAGAGGTGCTGGAGGATGCCCCCTCCTGGAGGTCCCTCGGCCCATCGCCCCTGGCTTCTCCCAGAACAAGTCCGGCACTTGTGTCCCCAAGGGGCACCCTTGACTAGACTCTACACCTATAAGAGTTTGGACTCTTTCCACTTCCAAATTTGTCCTTTTCCCCCTCTCTGGCCCCAACCCAGCACTAGGATTGAAAAAGGGCACCAGCTCCCAGAGCAGACACACTTCTCCCTGCTCTTTCAGCAACGGGGATGGAATGGTGGTGTTGGCAAACTTGTCGCCAAAGATGTGGTGTCACCACAAGGAGAGTGACCCTGGTCAGGCATGGGTCCCCACCTGGAAGGCCTGTAACAGCCACTGAGTCCAGTGATTCCCAAACTCTTCAAGCCGCAGGAGTCTTGTACCAAACTAAATCCTACTTGGAACTCTAATAGAAAATTGACAGCATGCCACCGGGCTGTGTGTGCTTCCTAGTTACAGAAGAAGATGAAGCTCCAACGCGAGTTTAAAACTGTCAAAGCAGTTTAGATGTCTAAGCCACAAGTGATAATATATTAAATGTTTGGTAAGTCTGAACATACAACATTTACTTATCCTAAAGGCACCTTGATGATGACCCCAAGGTGGTTTTGGTGAATGCAAAACACAAAATGCAAAGTGCAAAATGCAAATCTTTTAAGTCTTAGCATTAAGTCTTGCTTGCTTAGGCTTGAGAAAAATTTATATTTGCATGGACAAGTGATTTGAGGAGCTCACCTGGAAATCTCAGGGTACTCTATCATCAAACGGTTGATTCATTCATTGATTCATCCAACGAATATTTATTGAGAACCTACTGTGTTCCAGGCACTCTGCTGCTTGCTGATGTTGGAACAAGTAGGAAGAAATATGTGTTTCGATCTAAATCACAAATACAACAATTATTTGCATTTCTCATAATGAGCGTATAAGACAAATGAAAAGACACAAGCTTCTAGTAAGTGCCAAATCTATAGTACACTATTAAGATATTGCAGCAGGGCATGTGTAATTGTTCAACAGGCCCTGAGTCTTACCTGGGCAGAGCAAGGGTGACCCAGCATGTATGTTCAATAGTGTACGTGACTGTCTAGCTTAGAAGAGGTACAACCATCCTCATTAATGACATATTTCACGGTATTCAAATATATGCATAGAGATTCAAAGGGCAGGAGGCCACCCATTCATTCATTCCACATTTATCAAGTTCTTACTATGTGACAGCCACTGTGATGATTTCTGGAGATGCTGTGGTGAACAAAACGTTTTTGCCTTCCTGAGGCTATATCCATCAATGAGTGAATTAAGAAGATAAGTACAGAGTGGCCGTGTGAAGAAGGAAATGAGCAGAGTGATGTGACCCAGCTACCTTAGAGAAGATGGTCAGAGACATCCCCAGGAAGTGATGTTTGAGCTGAGATCTGAAATAGGAAAAGCAGCAATCGTGGGAGGAGCTGGGGCCAGGGCTATAAGCAGCAAGTGCAAGGCTCTGAGGCCAGATAGTGCTCTCGGTGTTGAAAGACAGGGAAGGCACTTAGACTAGAATGGAGTGATCAAAAGGGATGGTGGCTCCAGAAGAAATCGGACAGATGCTCTGAGGCCAACTCGTGTAGGACCTTACAAGCTAGTGTAAGGCGATGAGACTTTATTCTAAATGCAACCAAGAAGCTCTTAGGGAGTTTAAAGCAGGAAAGGGGTATCATCTCATTTATGTGTTTAAAGGATTACTCAGGCTGCTGTGTAGTGGACAGATTATGCTGGGGCAAGAGTGGAAGAAGTAAGGAGAGCAGCCAGGAAGCCATGGTGATCATCCGTGCCGGGAGAGTGGCAGCTTAGTCCAGGATGGCAGCACTGGGGATGGAGAGACTCCAGTGTCTCAGTGCACAGGGCTCCCCCCTGCCCAGACCTCCCCGTTGGAACTCCAGCCTCATAAAACCCCTGCCTACCTGATCTCTCCACCTGGATGTTGAACACCCATCTCAGATTTTGCCCCAGCTTGGACTCTTGATCTGCCACCTGCAAACCTGCTGTTCCCCAACTCCGTTCTGCCCCGAGTCATCCTCAACTCCTCTCTTGTCTCCCTGCCTACACCCAATCGTGAAAAATTCTTGTTGGCTCCATCTTCAAAATATATTTGGAATTTAATTACTTTCCACCATCCCTACTGCTGGTACCCAAATCTAAACCACCATCACCACTTACTTGGATCATTACAATAGTCTCCTAATGGTCTCCCTGCTTCTGCCTTTGCTCTCCATAACCTGTATGCTCTTGTTAAAATGTAAGTCAAACAGTAACATTCTTCTCTTCCACTCAAGCTCTCCAGCGGCTTTCCATCTCAGAATTCAAATCCTTTGTCCCTTTCTGACCCCATCTCCTACAACTCTCCCACTTGCTCATTCTGCAGCTGACATACCAGCCTCCTTGCTGTACTTTAAATATGACACAATCTTGCCTCAGGACCTTTGCACATGCTCTTCCTTCTATCTGATTCCAGATATCTGCTTCTGCCCTCCCTTCATTCTGGTCTCGCTCAAATGTAATCATCTCAGAGAGGCTTTCCCAGACCACTCCATATAATGAAATAATCTCCATCGCTTTTCCCCTTTGCTTTATTTTTCTTCATAGAACTTAAAACTTCCTGACATCACATATTTTTGGCTTATTTGTTTATTATGTGTCTCCCTACCCTACAATGCAAACACCACGAGAGCAGAGTCTCAGTGTTATTCATTGCTGTATCCCCCAACACCTAGACCAATACCTGGCACATAATGGATGCTCCATACTATGTGTTGAATGAATACATGAAGGTGGTGTTATAGAGTGAAGGGAGGTGACCACATCAGGAAGGAGACCTTTAGCACTACTAGTGGCAGATAAGTGAAGAAGGCAGGGTTCCAAAAGAGTCTGATAGGTTTGGTGGGAAGAAAGAGCTTCCCAGGGTCCAAGGAGCCAGTTAGGACAGCTTCCTGAAGTTAGTGGGAAAGGCACAATGGTAACTTTTGCTTCTATCTGTAGGCGCTGGGGGGGAGAAACCCCTGTAGGGGTATCTCATCCAAGGGAGACCTCTAGCCAGAACGCTGATAGGAAGATTTGGACTAGAGATTTAAGAAGAGGCTGAGAGGCATTCTGGGGGTGGGGGTACCCAGGGCTTGTGAAGGAGCCAGAGGTCCCATGAGGTGGTTGCCTCCTCCTTCTAGTCCCAGTCTTTCCAGTGGGCTTGCTGGAAAGAAATGCAGCTCAGACTTCAGCAGAAGCTAAGCCCTGACATTACATGGGCCTCTGTCAGGGCTCAGTGCCCCAGCCAACAGCTGGGAAGACAGCAGGGAGCACAGAGTCCAGTCTGTGCCAACGACAGAAGCAAGCCCTCTTGATAATATCGCCTTGCATCTCGGACTGAGGGCCTCCACATCTTTGGTCTCTTTAGATTCTCACCACCACCACAATCACTCCAAGAAATCGCTCTTATTATCCCCAAATTTACAAAGTGGGGAAACTGAGGCTTGGAAGGCGATATGACTTCGGCAAAATCACCCAGGAAGCTGTGGGATCTGGACTCTAACTTAGATCATTGGTCTGCACACTCTACTCTCAAAAGATCCCACTCCGAAATGGGGTTCTCACGCTGAGTCTGGGCTTTTGAGGCCTTTGAGCAATGAACTTCACTGGTGCAGCGCTGTGCGCAAGAAGGAGGGAAAAACAGCAGTTTTCTTTCCAGCCGAAGACACATCTCCACCCGGACCCACACAGGACACTCCGCTGCGGAAACACACAGGTCGAGTTAGGCAGGAGTTCACTTCCTCCCTCCAGGCCGGGGCGGGACCTGGGCTTGGAGAGACTGGCGAGAAGCTTTAGCAGCCATTCTCCTCTTCTGCAGAAATGCGGCTGCGTTTCTAAGCGTCCAGAGAGGGTGGGGTGGGCCCACGGCCCTCTGATCCACTCCCGGGTAGGAACTGGCCGAGTGACGTGGCCGCCACGTCCAGTTTGTCTCAGGTTCTTCCACTTAGACTCTAATTCTCACTGCAGGTTTCTTTGCCTCTGACTCTTGCTTTCTGCTCTCTGTCTCTGTCTCTTGGCTGTCTCTCTCACTGTCTCACTATCTCAGCTCTGAGTGTGTCTCTGCCCTATTGCCATGGGTCTCTCTCTCTAAATCTCTCGCGATCTGTTTTCTACTCCCACCCTGCACCTAGGTCCCCCATAAATCAGAGGACAGAGGGAGACCCAAAGTCAGCTTGGAGTTGAGCGCGCGCGGCCAACATTTCCCGAGGACATAGGACGAGTACGGTGCTGGAGAGGTTTGGAGCGAGTGTGCCCCGGAGCCAAGTGCAGCCGCGTTGGGCTGCCGGCCTCTGCCTCCCTCCCAGCCTAGGGAGGGGTCGGAGCGCGCGCGCGCGCGGGGCTCGAGGGGTAGGGGGCTGGCCAGTCTCTTGCCCCAGCGGCCACCCTGGGGATCCCAAGCTCCTCCCCACCTTGTTTCTATTGGCCTCGGGCGCCCCCGCCCCCAGCCGCCCGCTCGGGCTCTGGGGCCCTTAAGCTACTACCGGATAAATAGCCCCGGGCGCCTCGCGTGACGATAGGGGTGGGGAAGCCCCGGGGCGCTGCCGCCGCTTTCCCATCAGGCCGGAGAGGACCGGGCAGAGCGGGGGGGGGGGAAGTGGGGTGTACATTCAGACCCCCGGTACTTTACTACCGCACGGTCAAGACTGCAGAGAGGCAGAAAGTTTCGGGCAACCCCCACCGAAGCTAGGACTGCGCCACCCCCTGCAGGGACATGGAGCTGCTGTCGCCGCCACTCCGAGACGTAGACTTGACTGGCCCCGACGGCTCCCTCTGCAACTTTGCCTCCGCAGATGATTTCTATGATGACCCGTGTTTCGACTCCTCCGACCTGCGATTCTTCGAGGACCTGGACCCGCGCCTCGTGCACGTGGGCGCGCTCCTGAAGCCCGAGGAACACTCGCACTTCCCTGCGGTCGTGCACCCGGCGCCAGGCGCGCGCGAGGACGAGCATGTGCGCGCTCCCAGCGGGCACCACCAGGCTGGCCGCTGTCTGCTGTGGGCCTGCAAAGCGTGCAAGCGCAAGACCACTAACGCCGACCGCCGCAAGGCCGCCACCATGCGCGAGCGGCGCCGCCTGAGCAAAGTCAACGAGGCTTTCGAGACGCTCAAGCGCTGCACGTCCAGCAACCCGAACCAGCGGCTGCCCAAGGTGGAGATCCTGCGCAATGCCATTCGCTACATCGAAGGCCTGCAGGCGCTGCTGCGCGACCAGGACGCCGCGCCCCCTGGTGCCGCCGCTGCGTTCTACGCGCCTGGCCCGCTGCCCCCAGGCCGTGGCGGCGAACACTACAGTGGCGACTCAGACGCGTCCAGCCCGCGCTCCAACTGCTCCGACGGCATGGTAAGGCCAGGACCCCCAGCTAGAGAAGTGAGGGCAGCTCTTGGTATATCTGGGACGTGTTTCCGAGCGCGGGGAGCGGGCCCACCAGAGGGAGGTTTGGGCTGGGAACCTTGCCGCGAGTGGACCCCGGTGTCCTGAGCAGCTGTCACTGGGGTGGCCTGGTGCCTTGGGGGCGCACGGGACAAATGCGAGCCACCCTACTGAGGGCGCTGTTAGAGCTCTGCTGCAGCGACATGAAGATCTGCTTTTCTCCACTTACCCTATTTACAAAATGCAGATTTATGCACCTAGGCGACTATCCACCCTCTAGTTGGCCCGGGAGGAGGCTGCAGTCAGCTCCTGTCCGCCCCGATCCCCCAACCAGGGCCCAGAACTCGTGGCTGAGACTGGGGAGTTGGGGCGGGGTGGCTACCGGGAGTGATGCTCTGGCCCCACGCGGTCCCCGAGCCTGACTCGGGCGCCCTTGACGTTTGCAGATGGACTACAGCGGCCCCCCGAGCGGTGCCCGGCGGCGGAACTGCTACGATGGCACCTACTACAGCGAGGCGCCGAGCGGTGCGTATTTGCGCCTCCTTCGCACGTTACCCCCTTTGAGCTGCCCTGGCCTCCCTCTATCTAGGACCCCCCCTCCCCGCTCCCAATCCTGGGAGACAGTACAGGGAATGAAATACTAAGCGTGCGGCTTCCTCCCTTTTCGCTCCGGACTCTCCCTGGGTCCTCTCGGACTCGGGCAGGCCTTCAGTTTCCTGTCTGCCCCAAAGCACTGAGCCTGTAGGTGGGAGATTTGTTCGCTGCTCAACTGCATACTAACCTACCCCTCCCCGCGCAGAACCCAGGCCGGGGAAGAGTGCTGCGGTATCGAGCCTCGACTGCCTGTCCAGCATCGTGGAGCGCATCTCCACCGAGAGCCCCGCCGCGCCCGCGCTTCTGCTGGCGGATGCGCCGCCGGAGTCGTCTCCCGGCCCACAAGAAGAGGCCGCCCAGAGCGAGGTCGAGCGCGGCGCCCCCGCCCCTTCCCCGGACACCGCCCCGCAGTGCTCAGCGGGCGCAAACCCCAACCCGATCTACCAGGTGCTCTGAGGGGGTGGGCGGCCGCATGGGAGGGCTCCGCTGCCTGCGCGCCCGAGGGATGGTGCCCCTAGAGTCCCTCGCGCCCAAAAGATCGAGCTTAAATGCTAACTCCCACTCCCAACCGCGCTTTAAAAGCGACCCCTCCCGAGTTGGGAGAGGCGGGAGAACGGACGTGTGTTTCCACTCCCGCGCTCCACAGTAAGGACACAGTCCTTTTCCACACAACACCCTTCCCTGACACTCGCGGCGATGGTCTTTAGGTGTTCCTCCTTGAGGGGCCAGACCCTTCCTCTTCCTTACCCCGATTCCCTGGGCGGGGTGGGACCCGCGCAGACCTAAGCCCCGCCTCCGGACGCCAGTGCGGCTGAAGGGGGCGTGGCCTCCCTCCCAGAGCCCCGGGCGGCTTTGCTCTTCCCCAGCGCCCGCGGGGCGCGCTGGCGTTCCGCGTGTAACAAGTGTAACAGTAACCACTTCACCCCCTCCCCCAGTTCAGGACCACTTTTTGTAATACTTTTGTAATCTATTCCTGTAAATAAGAGTTGCTTTGCCAGAGCAGGTGCCCCTAGGGCTGTATTTATCTCTGAGGCATGGTGTGCGGTGCGACAGGGACTTTGTACGTTTATACGGCAGGTGGGTGAGCCGCAGGCGCTCGCTCAGGTGTTCGAAATAAAGACGCTAATTTATACCGCGGTGGCTCCGACTTTCCCTGGGGATGGGGCTAGGAAGGGAGGAAACCCCGAAAACTTGGGCCAGCTGAACCGCAGCGACCCCTGTAGGCGGAAGACGGATTGCAAGAAAGGAGCCTGGGGCGGGCTAGGAAGGGAGGGGTGCGTTTGGCTCCTTATCCGTGGGGGAGGTTCCTCTGACCCATCACTACACGCAGCAGGTCAGTGGTTCTTGTGTCAGGATGCATTTTAGAATGATTTGAGTAGTGAAAAAAAAAATCCATGCCTGCCCCACTCGCCAGAGATTCTGATTTAATATATCTGCCCCTGATATCCGGGGCCAGGTTTTGGTATTTTTCAAAAGCTCCCCTAAGAGATTCTAAAGTGCGTGCAAGTTTGAGAATCACGCCCCTCGATACACACTGAGTGAACCCAGGCAGATGGACTACAGGCGTGGTGTCCAGAAGGAACACTGGGAATTCGTAGCTCTAGGTGCCACTCGGAAGCCTCATGGGTACAGAGAATGTGATAAGGTGCTCATAGCATTGTAAGGAAAAACTGAGTGTGAAGGGGCGATGTAAGCTGTATGACACTTACAGGCTCTCAGTGATAGGAGTACTCTTAAGGGGACCGCACAGAAGGCCAGACAGGCACAGACGTCTCTACTCAGCCTGGCACCCAGCACTTAGAGCATCCTGGCCCTGTCAGGGCAGTGCAAACCTGCATCATCTCAGGTTTGGTTAAAAATGCTCTGAGAGCAGAGGAGGGGACACTGATTTAGCCAGGGTGCTGGAGAGGACTTCCTGGAAGAGGTGCCATTTGAACTGTGTCTTGAGAAACAAGAAAAGACAGCACACAATGCCCACAGACCCATGCACATGTGCACGCACACACACAGCTGGGAGGGCACCCCTGGAAGGATAGTCTGGTAAAAGTTCTTTCCCATTCCCATGCCACCCCAAGCCCGCCCCCAAACATACATACATTTGTCATCAGGACCTCAATGTCTCCTACATCTCACCCTTACAGACACTTTTTTCCTGAAAACCTTACAGGCCCACTTTCAAAGGCTCTGCTTGTCAAGTGGGATGACCCTGAGGACTGCAGGCAAGATGTGTTGCCAGCAAGAAGGACCTGTGCTCTCTGCTCTGGGGAAAGCCTCTGCTGTACCCAGTACAGGGTCCCTGAAGAGCTGCCTAGAGCTACTCTGTTACTAATAATCCTCAACTTTTCCTCTGGCTTCCCCAGATGCACCTTGGGGTTCTTTACACTCCTTTGAGACCCTTTGGGGGCTCATTTATGAATTCATTCAATCAATAGTTGCCAGGTCCTATGCTGGGTGAAAACAGAGACCAATGGACAGTTCCTGACTGTGGAAAACACCAAGACATTTGGGGAGATTGGATCTCTTAGCAGCTGGTTACATCACAATGAATTAAATGTTATAATGGGGGTGTATGTGGTAGAGGAACAGAGTAGGAACAGAAGGTAGAGACAAGCAGTTAACCTCTAGTAAGAATCTTGAAGGGGTTGGTCATGGAAGGGGAGCCAAAGAAGGATACTCCAAGCTGAGGAAACAGAAGTGCAAAGACCCCAAAGTGACAGAAAGTAAACTGTGCCTTCATGGACCCAAAAGTGCTCACAGGGAGAGGCCAAAGGTGAGATGGGGAAAAGGCAGAGGCAGATCGTTAATGGACCTCATTTGGACTTTATTCTGAGGGCAATAGGGAGCCATAGAGGAATCTAACCAGCGGAAGGGTACAAATAAATCTGTATTTAGAAAAGCCAGTCTGGGCTGGCAAAATGGATAGGAGGGAACAAGACTTGAGACAGGAAGATTTGTCAGGAGGCCATGAGGGCTGCTCAGAGGAGACATGACATGACCTGAACTGGGTCTGCGACTGGGATGTGAGAGAAAGCATAGGAATAGAGAGTTGTGCCAGATAAAATGTAGGTGTTGACAGTACAGTGGAGAACTTCGAGGGCACAGTCCTTACCCTCACACAGCTTAAAATCCACCGGGGAGGGGCACCTGGGTGGCTCAGTCATTGAGCGTCTGCCTTCGGCTCAGGTCATGATCCCAGGGTCCTGGGATCGAGCCCCGCATCGGGCTCCCTGCTTGGTGGGAAGTCTGCTTCTTCCTCTCCCACTCCCCCTGCTTGTGTTGTCTCTCTCTGTCAAATAAATAAATAGAATCTTTAAAAAAAAATCAACTGGGGAAATAGCCATTAGACAAAGAAATAAGTGAATAAATGGTGAGAAATACTATAAGGAAAGGTAAAGCGTGCAGTGAGATATGATAATGGGGTATAAGAAGGTGCAGAAAGGAGGATGCAGGATTTCTGCACTGAGGAAACCAATTACACGTATGAAGAAGGCCCAGGAGCTAGTGTGCAATTGGAAAAAATGTCCCTTCTTTCCTGAGGATGCTGCTCTGCACCAGGGTTCATAGCTAGGCAATCAGAGAGCAGGCTGGACTTCAGCCCCCACTGACCTTCTTAGGCAGGTAAAGTTGTTCAGTGAACCAACATGCATAACTGTTCACAGAGCCTTGTGTATGGAGGCCCTAATGACGTGAGGGGAAAGGGGGAGCCAAGGCTGACTCAGGCTCTGGTTTGGTTCAGAGTGGACGGTAATGCCATTACAGAGATGGAGACATCAGGAGAAGAAGAAGCAGGTATGGGGAGAGATTTAGTCCAGGACACTTCCAGTTACAAGTGACAGAAACCCAGTTCAGACTAGCGTCACCCCCCAAGGGGTGTGTTGGAAGGACATGGGACAGTTCATATATGGAAGCAGCACTACAGGGACCATAGTATCCATGAGCTTTGACAGCTGGGACTGGAGCCTGGAGCCCCTCTTACTCTTCCACCATTCCCGGGCTTGCCTCTACTTAGTTTACTTTACTCTCTCCGAGTCCATATTGATTTTCTCCAGCAACGCAGGAATTACCTTGGATCTCACCATTAAACTCCAGTTTGAAAATTTCCAGAGAAGAACCCTCATTGGACTAGCTTAGATCATGATCCAGGATTTGAACCCAGGCAGACAGACTCCAGGGATTGCACTCTTGGCTGCCTTGCCTTATACCTCTGCATGGGAAGGAAGGAGAGGGCACTGCGAGAAAGTCAGGAGGGAGGGGAACAGCTGGAGATTGGATCACTCCATGGATGATGGGGTTTGAGGTCCCCTCCTGGCCCATCTCTCACCTCAGTCCCCTGGATTTGGGGGTGGGAGGAGCGTCTAGTTGAGGCCAACTCCATTTGCAACGTAGATGAAATGACCCTTGTTCTTGGGGCCATTTTCACCTGGGCTGGATCTGCGGAAACATTGGGTCCATGTCTACACACATGTGCTCATGCAACCACACATGAACCCAGAGCATACCACCAGAGGCTGATGCACATTGAAGGCGACATGACAAACTGAGATTTTTCTCAGCATAAGCAAATTATTTCTCATCTGGTTTACAGAGCCTTCTTTACTTTCCCAAAGTTTTTATTGAGATGCAATTTACATACCATAAAATTCAGCCTCTTAACGTGTCGAAATCAGTAGTTTGTGATATATTCACTATGTTGTACAATATCACCAGTACTGTCTAATCCAGAACATTTTCCTCACTCCCAAAAGAAACTCTTAACCCATTTGCAGTCACTCCCCACTCTTCCTCCTCCCTCAATCCCCTGGCAACCACGAATTATTTTCTGTTTCTATGGATGTGCCTATTCTGGACACTTCATGAGTGGAATCACACACTGTGTGGCCTTTTGTGTATGACTCTTTTCCCTTGGCATAATGTTTCCAAAATTCATCCATGTTGTAGCCTGTATCAGGACTTCATTCCTTTGTATAGCTAAATAATATTGCATTATATGGATACATCGTATTTTGTTTATCCATTTATCAGTTGATAGATATTTGGGTTGTTTCCATTTTTAGCTATTCTGAATAATACTGTTATGAACATTCAAGTACACATTTTTGTGTAAACATATGCTTTTAATTCTCTTGGGTATATACCTAAAAATGAAATTGCTGGGTATATCATAACTCTATGTTTAAATTTTTGAGGACCTGCCAAAGTCTTCCCCAAAGCAGCTGCACCATTTTACATTCCCATCAGCAGTGTATCAGGGTTCCAATTTCTCTACATCATCCACAACACTATTTCTGTTTGTCTTTTTATTCTAGCCACCCTAGTGGGTGTAAAGTGGTATCTCATTGTGGTTTTGATTTGCATTTCCCTAATGACTAATGATGTTGAGTATCTTTTCATGTGCTTATTGGCCATTTGTATTTCTTCTTTGGGGAAATGTCTATTCAAATCCTCTGCCCATCTTAAAATTAGATTACTTGTCTTTTTATTGTTGAGTTTTGAGTGTTCTCTCTATAATCTAGATACTAGACTCTTATCAAATATGTGATTTGCAGATATTTTCTCTCACTCTACAGGTTGTCTTTTCACATTCCTGACAGTGTCCATGGAAGCACAATTTTGTTTCATTTTGATGGAGTTCAGTTTATCTATATTTTGTTGTTGTTGTTGCTTGCATTGTGGGCATTATGTCTACAAAACCATAACCTAAACCAAGTAAGAGTATTATAGTTTTAGCTCCTACGTTTAGATATTTCATGTGTTTTTAGTTGATTTTTCTATATGGTGTAAAGAAGGGATCCAACTTCATTCTTTTGCATGTAGATACCCACTTGTCCCAGCACCTTTTGTTGAAAGGGCTATTCTTTTCCCCATGGAATTTTCTTGGCACCCTTGTCACAAATTAATTGACTATAAATGTATGGGTTTATTTCTGGGCTTTCAGTTCTATTCCATTGATCTACATGCCTATCCTCATGCCAGTACCACACAGTGTTGATTACTGTAGCTTTGTAGTAAGTTTTGAAATGAGGGAGTGTGAGTCCTCTAACTTTGTTCTTCTTCAAGATCGTTGTGGCTATTCTGGGTCCCCTGCATTTCATGAATGTATCTTTAAGTAGCCCTGTCTTGACAGTATTTTAA